AACGAAAATCAATGAAAATGATAGTTCAGGAAAAAATGACTGAAACATAAGGGTTTGTCACACCAGCTGCAGCAGATAAAAGGAGCTGCATCACATGGAGATACGGCGCATATTGTAGCGTCAAAGGCAAGGCACACATCGGGCACGGTTTTGAAAGGACTTGGATGATTGTCCGTGTAGCCACTCGCATACTGAATCATTGGACGAAAAACTTCGGAACAGAGTTGGTTATGAGTAAGAGACATGAGGCGGATGATGTTATTCCGTTCACTCATGCTGATGTCTAGTTCGTCGAGCAGCACGCGATCGTATAGTCGACGAGGGATTACTTTCATTTGTCTGTTGAAAAAGACATCCAATGGTTGAATTGGTTGAACCCAATGGTTGAAAGACAATAACTTGAGTGTTTGAGTCTAGTATACGGCATCTGACCTCATTCGATAGAGTAAGATACCCTCATGTTCTTTTTCAATAACTAGCTTTTTTTATTTTGGTTTGACTCATTGTCGATCATTTTTTTTGTATTCCCCACTGACATACCATCATGCCTGCTTGATAAGTACGGCGTGCTCGTGTCCAATGTGTACATTTATCTAGTTACTTTCTCTTTCTGTTCTTCTCTCTTCCATGCTTAATTTGTGCCATGGGATTGGTTTTCTCTTCATTCGATGATGTACTATATACAAGTAACGTACAAACGAACAGTTGTTATCAGTTTTTCTTTTGTAACTTTAAAAATGATCAATCCAACTAATGTCGTGAAGATTTTCGCTGATCGAGTATCCAACTTATTGTCTCCTACGACGTCGAGCACCTCGACCGTCACCATTACTACCACAAGCCGTGAATGCGAAGTAGCCGAGCTATTGTATGGTGTGCTAGAATCGATCACCAACAGTCACTCCCACACTTTCGAAGTTGAATCAACTCTCGATCATGATTCAGCGGATGACGAATTGTTCAACGATGCGGGCGACGAAGATACCACTCAAGAAACGTGGGATCCTAGCTGGAACGAAGATAACGAAGACGACGAAAAGGCACTGTGCAAACAATTCTCGCTTGATTACATGACCAGGGCGGTCAATTTTTATGACGAAATCAATCCACATACCGGGAAACGAAAGCGACGATGGGAGACCGTGAAGCACAACTTCCAACGTATCCCGCATCAGATCTATCTCTCCCGCTTTCGCCGTTCCGTATAATATGCGAGCTTTCGATTCTATGTGCGTTACCATCAGGTAAATCTTATGGTTAAATGAATCTGTGCAGTGAAACTACAGGAAGAATATTTACCTTTCCTTTTTTCATTTTGAATGGCAAACCAATGACCAATGAATAATTGATATTTTTTCTTTTTTCTCTCCCATTTGAATATCACTGTTTTCAAAAATATTTAATGGTATGCTAGATAAGATCTCCGATGCTCTTTTGCCACTCGGTATGTTCACTTTAAGAGCAGAATCCGATTTTGAGAGATCTCTAGAAGGTGTACAGAATGTTCTCGAAGTGTGCGAACCCCTGGATGTCTTCTCAAATGCTGACCCAAAAAAAGGGAAATCAATCTGCTGGTGTACAATAAGGAAAAATATCATAGTTACATGTTCTTCCGTCGTTCTATCAGTCAAGCGCAAATTAGTATAGCTCGAGTCTTCATTAACAAATGAGAAGTACTATGACAGGTACAGATAAATAAATATATCGGATAAAAACTCTGGGAATGAATAAAAATACATTGATTCGGCTTTCCACAATAATAGCTTAAGAGTGTTTCTTTTCTTTGTTTCAGCAGTAAGGTATACACAAATATACAGGTCAAAATCTGACCAGCTGACTGGGCATCTTAATGGTAATAATGTTATGCAGAAATAAATTCGAACGTCAAAGGATCGAGTGAATTGAAAATGAACGTTAGTTGTTTTTTACTACAGTATTAATTGAATTTTGTTTTACAACCCGGTTTGTCCAAATATTACGGAATTACTTTTTTCCAACTTTCACGTGCCATAACTTTTCTGAGAATGATCCAAATGCAATGACGCTTTTACCAGAGGTAGACAATACCAAGTTTTATCACGTCCGAAAATTTCGTTGAGTTCGGATCATCCCATAGGGAGTTATTAAAAAAATAACGGCCGTTACGGAATTACCGAAAATGGATTTTTTTTTTCAGTGATGTCTAAGTTTTACATTTTTCTGCTCAATGAAAGCTTTTTTTGAGATGTGTTCTGAAGCATAGTTGTGTAGGTTGAAACTAGCTTTTAAAATATCCACTTGGTTTTCGATTAGAATCACTAGATGATATAAAAATTTGAAAAAACAGTCCGTTACGGAATTACAGCTTTTTTTGGTTCTTTCAAATCAGAAGGTTAAATTCCATTACAAAAGTCGTCATAGAAAAATATTTCCAGTAGTAGTAGACAGTATCTGATCTGATCTTTCCGATGCACTGTAGAAAAACGTTCTGAAATCGTTTTAACTTGAAGAAAAACCCGTTTCAAAACCTGGTTTTTCGAAAAACCAACTTTCTTGGAAAGCACTTAAACTCAAAAATAAATACGCTGTCTTGTAAAGAATTAAATTCTCTACAAAATACCATATCTCTTAATTTTTTTCGCGAAAATATCTAGGTCAGGAAATTAAAAATAAAATTTGGATTTCATTTTTTGAAAATTTTAAGTTGATATTCGAAATCAGCTTCAAAAACTACGTTAGACGATGTGCTTCACAAATTCTTAAAGTTAAAAAGAAATTTTCGAACCATCTTAAGTGAAGGTGACCGTTAGCTGGACAGACCAAACCGCTTTTTCGTTAGGGAAGAGCTCAAGCCTTGGAAACTTGAACTGGCCCTTACTACGCGCACAGTCCTCGAAACTGCCTTTCTGTAACTTTTCTCTCAATACAGTTGAGAATATATACATCAGACGTCAACGAAATAGTTCAGTGATTCGATCTTTAGTAGCTGTCACCCGTCCATTTACTAATCGTCGTCCTGACGCTTAACCGGAGAAAGGATAAATTCATGTTTCGGTGACAAATTCGGTGACGTCTGACTTTCATATACTCGACTGTGTTAAGTGAAAAGTTATAGAAAGGCAGTCTCGAGGACTGCGCGCGTAAACCGGTTCAAGTTTCCAAGACTTGAGCTTTTCTGTAACCAAAAACCCGTTGTAAAACAAAATGTATTTAGTTCAAACAAGTAGAGTTTAAAATATCAAAATACAGTATTAGATTTTACCCGTTTTCTCGTTTTATTTAAACGAAGAATTCTATCATCATTGTTCATAGTTCCCCTAAATGTATCTTAGTACTACTTTTTTATTTTTTGCATAATCTATAATCCAATGGGTGTGTAAGTGACAATAATAATAAACCTGATTCAATTGCTAACTGGAAATGTTTTTTCGCATCATCGTAACACTGAGCTTTGAAATGTACGACCCCGATATTATTATACACAGCTGATAAATCAATTGGGTTACGGTTTGTAGATTCTAACAGAATATTTAATGCTTGTTGATAGTATTTCATAGCCACTTCATTCTGTCCTTTTTTATACTGAATGTAACCGATATTATTGTAAAGTTTACCAAGTGATAGATCATTTAATGATAACGATTTTGTTATCAAATCAACGGTATTCTGTAACACATCAGAAGAAGATTCAAAAGTCAAAGCACTCTCGCAACGAGCCATTTCGATATTACATTGTGCAATCAATATTGATGATGGATGCTCTGCTCCTATAGTTTCGATTGCCATGTTAAAGTAACATTCAGCAAGGTCGTATGCACCTTGTTCACATTGAAGACAACCACGATTGATATAAATTGCACCTATATCTTTATGATTTTTAGGCAACTCACGTAATAATATCTTATAGTATGTATCGGCTTTGACATAATCTCTAATTTCACTAAGGAAATTTCCCAATGTTAATAGTGTCGGCGTATCACCAATCTGTTCTTTTAAGTAATTAGTCAGTTCAACACATCGTTGATTTTCTTCACCACTTGAACTGAGCCTAATATGCCACAATGCTTCTTTATCTTGTTTAACAGACTCAATACGCCATACTGTCCCAGCTGAAAATAAAACTTCATTCTCATCAGGAATGGCACTGCAGTCTTTTATAAACGCAAATGGTTTTGTTTCAATGTTATCATCGACATCTAAACGAAACAGTACACGCTCATAGCCTTCCCTAACTGGATTATCTCGGCTGCAGTATATATATCCGATTTCGTTTAATGTTGTGGCTGATAAAAATCCGTTTATCGAAATTAATCCGTTGATATTTTCTTGTAAATTATGAACAACACTTGAGGGCATTACTTTACCTCTGAGAATAGTTTTTGGTAAAGTATGATTAGATTTCTCATACAATTCGAGGAGTTGATTATGCATGTCAGTTATAATAAGACGAAATGTATATAACCAATGAGGATCTTGTGTGTTTAAAACTTTGTTTGTTAAACGATAACAAAAACAAGGACGCGTATACCACCATATAGCCTTATCCGAAGAATAATCGGACTCGAACTCAGAAATATATTTTTCTTCCTCATGATCGTTTTGATAAAAATATTTACATGCTTTTATCATTGTTTCTTTTGTATTTTTTGTGACCGACATGCGTAATAATATTTCAATAATTAATTGAAAACAGATAAATGCAATAGAATTTTTTTTCAAATTTTTTATTGGACAATTCTTCTCACTGGAACTAAATAAATTAATGGTCGGTAATATTTCCTTGTAAGAATTACACGATTCTTCAGTTGATTGATTAGCAATATCTGTTAATATTTTTTGGTACAATAGATTATCATTATACACAAAAATACGATTATAATTGGCTTGTTCTTTCCAGCTGTCGTATTCAGATGCATTTTGGCAAATAATATATATAAACAGAATTTCTGAACGTTTATTTATAAGCGGAAGAACAAATCGACCAAAAGAACTTGAAATGATAAAATAAATTTTTTGTTTTGTGTGTAGATTGACTATATATGAAATACATTCACATGCGTCGTCAAATGATTTTAAATTATTAAAAATACGTGTTAATTGCGTGAATACATGAATATTATCCTTGTAAGACGAATCGAGCCAAATGCCAATAAAATTTTGATGATTATCTGTGACATGGAGCAAGGACAACACTGTATCATCGCATTCAGCAATCATTGACCTAGAAAAAAGAGTTGAACTCTATTGTCCCGGATCGACCACATGTTGCTTACCGAGCGGTTACTATTTTAGGAAATTCGTCCATTCAATGCCTCATTGAGTCATTAATTATCTAAAAAAGACTGTAATGTGAACAAACATAAAATTTAGTGCAGTACTAAGTAACTTAAAATGTTACATTCTTTTGAAACTAGAATTTTCGACTCAATAACGTTTAATTTAGTTAAAACAAGAAAACAACTTGGGTACAATATGATACAAATATATAATACAAAAATCACTTGTTTACGTCAACTGAATTTACTACTGTTGAAATATTTTTAAGATAGCATGTAATCAATAAATTTTCTGCTGGCAAGATTTTTAATGCTCTATCAAGTGCCTTCTCGTAGCACTGAAGAGCTTTTTGAAAATCATTTCTTTTGTAATACACACAACCGATATTATTCAGAATATCGGCTTCTTCGATTGTGTTATCATTTGTTAGGTAGTCATAAGCTTGTTCAAAATTTTCTAATGCTTTTTTATAATTAAGTTTGTAAAAATACACACAACCCAGATTGAAATACGATATAGAGGAAGATGAATGATTCATTAACGGAGGCTTCAGTATAATGTCAGCTATTCGTTGTTGAGTATCTGCTTCATGAGAGGATGAACTCTGCATTGTTCTATTCAATCCAGTGTGGTACTGTCCCAGAGCTGCTTCATAATCACTTTTATGTTCATAAATAAGTCCAATATTGCAATTAATAATTTCTATAGCGTCATTATCAGACTCATATACACTATGCAGTATTTCATAATAACGCATTGCTTCATCCAATTGACCAACTTCACAAAAGAAGTTTCCCAAAGTTATAAGTGTGAGAGGGTGTGCAAACTCATTCCTTATACGTTCAAATAATCCTCTAACCTTACTTAACTGTCTATCAGTCAATGATAATTTCACATGCAATATTCCTCTGGGTGGTATTTGTGCTACGGACTCTATTCGAAATACTGACCCAGGAGAAAACATGATACCATAGTTTTCTTGATCACCTACCGTTTGTATTTTACCAAATGATGCCGTATCGGATGTGCAATCGACGGCAATTTCGAACAAGACAGCTTTGCATAATGGATTGATGTTCGTTGTAACAGCATTTGATAGAACTGTCTGACTACACATAGTACCAGAAAAGAATGTTTTTATTGATGCAATTTCGCCGATGTTCTTCTGGAGGTTTTTCAGTTCTTCTATCCGCATCATTTGTGTTCCATAAACTGTAAATGGTCTGCAATAAAAGGGAAGTTCGACTAGTTGACGATGAATATCAGCAATAAAATGTCGAAAATATAATATACCTATAAAAATATATTTGTCGCGATCATATCCAATGCGACATACTGGGGTCACGCATAAATAAATACAATAAATCTACTTTTCATTTTTTGTGTGCGTTTGTATTGGCAACATCTGGAAATTTAGTACCTCGGAGGAAAAGTACTTTTATAGTACAATTCTCTTTAATAAATACAGATAATAATAAAAAATCATTTTAAAAGTATATTCAGAAACTAATTGCATACTATTGTTCTTTACTGTGATTTGTCGTTATGGGTCAGTGTTTCTCTTATACTTCAATTATCTGATTTATTTCCATATTGATCTTCTAAAAAGAGATTTAAATTGTACAAATTGTGAGAATTTACTGGTGGACATCTGAAAATGAGCTAACAATCTGTTTTCGAAATACATAAGCAGCCATGTGTTTATAATTGAAATTACTCGTGCAAAAGTAAAATTAAGGTATCGAATTATTAAACAACTCTTGCTAAATGCATATAGTGCAAGAATGGCCTGACTTTATCGAGATTAAAAAATAAGATGTTTCTTGATAAACGGGAACCAATAGATGAAGATTTTACTTTATTAATTCTGACATTTTTTCTTTCTTTTAACCCTTTGGTTCTGGGTACTCTTGGAAAGATGCAAAAATTTTGATTCTTTTCATAAAATCTGAAATAGTACGGACAATTGTCGTATCAGAACGAAGTATATCGATGCATAAGTCTAATGCATACGTACGTATATTTACCTATAGATATCATTATTTAATTATTCTCTTAAGTGTGCTGAACCCGAATATCACAATGGTTTCTCCCTAAAGGTCTCTGGAGACCCAGTTTTTCAGAAACTCTAAAAAATAACCAAAACATTTCTTAATAAGGCCTGATTGTAGCCTGCACATTTTTGATTAAAATGAGACATCTCACAGCTCTACGCGACCTTACTTTGCGAAGTCAGAGAATTTACAACAAAAGCCCTAAATTAATTTCTTCTTATTTCTGTAGCTTTGAGCTGACAATGAACATTTAGGGCATTTGTTGTAAATTCTATAACTTTGCAAAGAAAGGTCGCGTAGAGCTGGGAGATGTCTCATTTTGATCAAAAATGTGCAGGCTACAATCAGGCTTTATTAAGAAAGGTTTTGGTTATTTCTTAGAGTTTCTGAAAAACTGGTTTTCAAAAAACCGTGATCTCCAGAGACCTTTGGGGAAAAACCATTGTGATATTCGGATTCAGCACACTCGATTACCTATCATCCACTAGGTTTCGTCTCAAAAGCGATGGGACAGTTGGTGGCCTTCCCTCGTTAGATAATCCAAGCTCTATAGGCAAAAACTGACCAAAAATTCGGTATCTCAGCAACAAAGCACCATGGGGATGAACCAAGTTGGAGTATTTCACTACTCGTTAGGGCTTTTCTAACAAAAATAGTTCCAATCCGAAATCGATTTATAATCTTAGGTGGTTCCCTCGTGAGTAAGAGACCAGAAATGTAGCCAGAGAGCAAAGACGTACATACAAAAACTCAAATCAAAAATCTCGATGTTTACACTAAATTATGATATAAATCATTGATATAAAATGTTTACACTAAATCTTCCATTTTATTTCAGTAAAATACACAAAAAACAGAAACATTATTAATTCGAAACAAGTGAGTGAGAGACAACTCTGAAATTACGTAAACGCCGACTGAAATAGTCAAAATTCAATAGATGCATTAGGAAACAAAATTCGCAAATCGTTTAGAATCGCAGAATCTATAAAAAAAAAGAAAGAAATGTGTACTGGTCAAGTGAATGAAAAAGAAGAGCATAACTTACAGTTTCCTCCTTCGTGATCGTCCCTAGCTGTCCAAAAAGAACACTTCTCCACTTCTTTTCCAATGAGACTTAATTCTTCATCACCTTCCATTTGTTTACGTAATTCATTCAATTTCACGTGATCATCAATAAAAAAGTTTAAATATTTGACATTTGGAAAGAGTAGTCGAAGCTGTTTAAAGTAATTGTAGTCAGGCAGATTTGCATACCAGGTCAAATTTTGAACTGAATTCATTTTACATCTACATGATGATGGCAGATTTAAAGGTAGTATCAGGAATTTTAGATGTCGAAGATGAAGAAATAGATTTTTAATGGAGAGTAGCTGTTTTGATGTTAACGTCCATGCTCGTAGAGTGATCGTCTGTATGTTGAACAATAGTTTTGGTAGTGGAGTAAATTGACAAGGTTTATTTAAAGCGTAGTAGATTGGCGATGAATCTTGTAACACGATATCCATAGTGTGGTGCTCTTCATATTTATCAGAGAGAGGTAAGTAGGGCAAGGAAAATAATGTGTAACAACTTCGTTTAGGTATGTACATGATTGGTGAATGAAAAGGATTTAACCAGGTCGGAGTTTTGAATGTGTTGAAGTAGGCTTTGATACTGAATAATGCTTTAGAATACTTGATTTTAAAGTGAAAGTGAAATTTCTTTAATTTTGGTAAATTCGACAGAAGCTTGGATTCTAAGAATAACACATAATATAGAAACGAAAGAAAATTATTACATCAAAGAGATTCTCCTACTTACGCAGTCGATTTCCATCTACCATTTCAGCATTAACGCGACTCAACATTGTCATATTCAATGTTAATATTTCTAATGATTGAGAAAACCGTTTCACTAATGATTCAATTTGATCGTAATTAATTTCACGTTCTGCGCTGAGATGAAACTGTTTTAAATAGGATGATACTTTCATATTCACTACATTCGCTGGTAATAACGAATCAGTTACTCGTTCACATTCAGCAAATTTAACTTTAAGAAATTGAATCTCAGTTAAGTTTTTCAGCAGTTGAAGCAGATCATTCTCACGGACTAATTCAATAGATAAACGTTCAATTAGAGGACAAGGCTGAAGCCGTAGCAGTTGCCAATCAGTGAAGAGTAGAGGGTAATTGACAAAAGATAGCGTTTTGATTGCATTAGTAGATCCAAAGATGGAAAAAGAGAGGTAATTTCCTTGTGACCGTGATGGGTATGAACCATGAAGCAGTTTCAGTGTTGACAGTTTAGTTGTTAACGTTGGTATAAATGTTAAATAATTTGCTTGTGTCCGTGGTGGTGCGTGTAGAATTGTCAGTGATTTCAGTTGTGGATATGTTAGTAAAAATACTTTTGCTAGCTGTTTGTCATCACATTGAATTGTTGTTAGTGTTTCACGAAAACGAGCGAGAAGATGTTCAAACCGATGTATACGAATTAGATTGATTTTTTTATGTAAATGATAGTGAACAAGTGAGTGGAGACGATGATTTAAATTGAGAAAAGCGTCCATGATGTCTTTTGATGGTAAGTATTTAAGGACGAGGTAGAATAATTCGTTGGGAAGAGATTCGAGCAGAGACCTAGTTAAAGACAGCGAAATGTAGATGTAGTACTAGTTGTGATTTAAGTTTCAGTACTGAATGCGCGTTTTGACAAATAAAGCATGATCACTTACATTTCTAGTCAGTCTTTTTGTATTTTTCTATTAATGAAGAATAAGCATACAACTTGTACGGTGAATGAACTAGAAAGTGATTAATGGTAGATACATGTACATTGTGTAAACTAGCAGTTCAGATCGTCGTGCTTTATGAAAAGAAAAGATAATAATATGGAATACGGTGCTGTGACGAACATATAGTTGAAATGAATGATATATATACAGGCAGGAAGAATTTTCTCATCTTTAGTTTAGCTATTTCTTTTCTCTTTCTGCTTAGGCTACATTCTGTTCTGTAGGGTGTGTATTTTGAACTATAATTTCTTCGAAAGAAGAGTGTAGCTGTAATACGAACAGTTCAACTTAAGGTTAGACTATAGGTCTTTTTTTTGAACATTTGATTAAATGGAGTCAAAAACCAGTAGAGACTTGATATTTTTACCAAACGTCGGTCCCTTATATATGGCTAGGAGCCAATGCATGAGAAAACGTGTGTTCCTCACAGAAGTATGCTCAATGCCCATCTAAGATTTTTTTCTAAGTTGTCTCATCTTGTAGAGCATACTGGAAAACCTATAAATCCAACCTTTTAGCCGTCCAGGTGTTTTCGTTCGGCAGATATGAAAATTTCTCGAGACGAGTAAAGTTCGAGAAATTACATGGGCAAACAATGTAAATATCGTTTTTCTCGCGAACGATAGGAGATGAAACCAAGATTCTTTTAGGATATATAGTCCAGATGTCTACTATATGCTGACATACAAATATTACGTATCACTCTCATCCCACGTCTTAACAGAGAACAAAAATGGAGCTTCATGGAATATTTTTGTGATCCATGGTTCTCCGACGTTTCTGCCTACAATGAAGTCGGACTAGTTGCAATGGATAGTAAACTTGGAGTACTATACAAAACCACCGTCAAAAGTTTGGAATTTCGTAATTTTCTAGAAGAAAGTTTTGCGTCAAAGTGAAGGCAAACACGTCGCTTTTAAAAGCCTTTTCTGTCTTATTGAAAAATTACATATTTTTTAAAAACATACCATTAGATAGCTCGTAAAATTCTCTACAAACTGAGTTGGCCAGATTATCTAGACAGGTGGGGCCGGCCATTAAAGATATGCAAAAGATGCGTTTGTAGTACAGTGTGTCATAATCATAAGAACTGCTTTGTTTCTGATTTTTCAATAAAAGCTGGAATCAATCTCAATACTATTTTGAATAGTCCGAAGATTTTTCTAACCGATGAGGTGCATATTGCCATTTAGTGAGAAAACTTGATAATAGCGTTTCTGGAAAAGCTGACCGCTAGAAAACCAAGTCTTTGATTTTTGGTCAAACAATTTTGCTTTTTTTTTCGATTTACGAATGGCTACAAACCGCTACAGAACAAAAACACCTTGGCGGCTAAAAACTTGGATTCATAGATTTTCCAGTATGCTCTACTAAATGAGACTACTTAGAAAAGGATCTGAGATGAGCATTGAGCATGACTTTTCGTGGCTTACTTGCAATGACTCCTAGACTTTTTTGGAGCTTACCGATTTGGACGAGTTTTAGGAAGACTCGGATTTTCATTGGCGTCCATTGCAGCTATCCCTTCAAATTACATCCGATCGGACTGAAACCTGTACCATGTGTGCTAGACACTGTTCTTCAGGGTGAAAATTTTTTCCTTTGAAAAATATTGCTTCATATAAGGGTTATAGCAAAAATAAAATTACCTCTAAACCAAAACCGAGTTCTGAAATCCATAACCCTATAAAAAAAGAAGAAGAAAGCACCAGAAAAATGGTACTTTTCGTAGAATGCGTATAGCGAAAATTAAGCTAAAAATTTTTTGAGAATTTTAGTATATAAGAGCTAAATTTTTCTATGAAAATTGGTTTTAACAGCAGCTTTTTGACAACAGGAAGAAAAGTATGCATCTCGACTGGGAATCGAACCCAGGACAGTGGTATTCATGACCATTGCTCTGACCGCTGAGCTGTCGAGACACAGTCTTCGATACACACATTTCTTCCTTTTGTGGATACACTATTAAATAGTGACTAATGGGGATTTTTACTTTACGCAAATCGATTTTATCGTCGAGTATGCCGGGAAGTGAGAACACACCAGGACTATACAAGACCGAATCGCACTTTATATGTTACCGGCTTTCTAAGAATAGCGAACGGACATGTTTTTCGTAGCGAAGCCATGATAGTTTTACGTATAATCCTCTAAGTGATTGCTCATGATGCTACCTTAAACAATACGAAATGAGAGTATAAAGTGCGATTCGGTCTTGTATGGTCCTGGTGTGTTCTCACTATTTAATAGTGTATCCACAAAAGGAAGAAATGTGTGTATCGAAGACTGTGTCTCGACAGCTCAGCGGTCAGAGCAATGGTCATGAATACCACTGTCCTGGGTTCGATTCCCAGTCGAGATGCATACTTTTCTTCCTGTTGTCAAAAAGCTGCTGTTAAAACCAATTTTCATAGAAAAATGTTTTGCCTACTTTTCGCGTTTCACTGTGAACGAAGTATTTTTCAAAGTTGAGTCTAGAGACAGAAACATGTCAAATTTAATTTTCTAATTTTAATCTGTTAAGTCCGGCGTCATAAAATTCGATCTTAAGGGTTAAAAAGGCAAAATACTGTTTTCTACCCTAAGGTTAGCTTCTAGACACTCAGTTTCGGTACATAATTTTTAGGAAATGAAAACGACATTTGGTGTTCCAGACTCCAGTCTCAAAAATACGTCCTTCATTGTGTAAAACGCTAGCTGAAATTGTTAGAAATATAGACAAAAAAACACGTACATCGCAAACACGTTGTATAGACAAAAAAAGTGTAACTATTTGCCTGTGTCATCTTCCTATGACGATATCTTTCAGTTGTGATCATTAAACAACCTAAAAATACTTTGGACCCTGTCACAATCACACTTTATTTCCGTTCTGCTTTTTCGTATGCATACTGGAAGAGAACAATAGAAAAGTTGACTTCTTCAGGAATATATCAATACATAGGAATTTATGAGTGTTGCTCACTCTTATTATTTGAAGCTAATGTTTGTTTCTCAAATTCACGAAAAATTTTATTTATTAATACCGACGGATAATCACTGTTTTTTAATATGTTTTGAAGAATAGTCTCATCTTTAAGATTATGTTTATTGTTATTAGCTATTCCTATTCTATTTGCCATATTAGCAGTAATGTTTTTCTTTATGACATAACTATAATCTGAATGAAAGTTTAACACCTGAGTACTAGCACTTTCTTTTCTAAACCAGCTCGTTTCAATAGAATTTTTATTGTGATTTATACGTATTAAAATATCTAAAAATGATATGCTGCAATCTTTTATCTAATATTCAGAGGTAAACTGTAAATCTGCATGCCTATTCAAACCTGAAACTAATTCTTTAATATTTTGCTGTGAAAGCTGTGACACAAGTAGAGTATTATCAACGTATCTTGCTAACCCTAAATATGGATATCTATTGAAATCATAATTAGTATCAAGAAATTCCTTTAATATTATATCAGCCAAGAAAGGTAAAATAGAGGATCCCATTGGCAATCTGCGTTTGTTTATATAAACTATTGCAAAACTGAAACATAACATTTTCAGTGTTAAATTCTACTAAACAGTTACTTTTCGACAAACTTGTTCTATCTTTCCAAGTTTCATCATTATCTAGCAAATTGGTTAAAATGTTTAAGGCTTTCTTTCTATCCACTGAGGTTAACAGATCCAACACATCTAAACTTGCCAAAGTACTATTTTTCTTTAATTTTAGCTAATATAACTTATTAATGAGATCTGGTTTATTTTTAACTGATTTCACATTTTCCGCTAATAGTTTTATTATTTGAGTAAGATACTTCGCTAAAGCCGAAATCACAACCAAAAGCGATGTGCCATGTTTGGGAATTAATTAAGACCTTCATTTGCTGAACCGATCCAAAACAATAGCTGATTGCTTGAAGATCTCTCACCGATCAGTTGTTATTGCTTGCTTTTCCTTCACTATCACAACAATTCTGTCATTATATCACATCTTTATTAAAAAAACTTATTCGTCAAAAATAATTACAACTCAACAGACAAAGCTTACGAGTATGCACACCAAAGTTTCAATACTTTCGGTCGAACACTGGCTAATATGTAGGACTCAATAATCTAGAAACAAAATACAAATAAAATTTACTAGCAGATTAGACACATTTGAAGTCAATTTACCTCTTTTTTCTGTTCAGTCGTTGCCACAAAGCTGGCACATCGGATGGCACCCAATTGCTTAGTGCTGTGTGAGCAATTGTACACAGATACCTGTGACCTTGATACGTGACTATATCGCCGATTTTGTAAACTGCGCCCTCTCGCCATGTTCCACCGTTGTCAACGGGCGAAGAACTTCAAAAGCACAAGCGTTCAGCTTGAAACATAACAAGACAGATGAGTTACCGTGTTGTTGTTACAACTTGTGGTGGCCGTTCTGTTTTTGTTGTTGTGGGTGGCTGAGGTTTTTCTGTCGGTTGATTTCCATTTCCTTCACCATCAATTCGAATGTCGGCGCATCCCATGAACGTTTCATTCTCAATGCCACATCCAGCACACGACTGACCTGTTTGTGGATCTGTTCCCCAGTTGTTACCCGTGGTGTATTTCCATTGAAATACACAGTGTTCGCATTTAACATTCGGCGGTAGCTTGATATCCAAATCAATTTTTGTGGACCCATAAGAGCCAACACTTTTGCGACGTGTGCCATCGGTAAATTCTAACAAATTTTGATCTAAACATGTTTGTGTCGCATCTGATGACCAACCGTCGACATTGCACAGACGAAATTCAAAATAACCTTTGTGATTGGCAGTTAACTAAATTAAAAACTCGTCTGACTATCAAAACAAGAACGTCACTTTCCGCAACGTACAGTGACGGATACTCGAATTGTTTCTCCTTTTTGATATGTTCGAACCGTTTTTCCCAAATACATGCTTCCACCTTTTTCCCACACTTTGTTTGGTTTGTCGTATGGTTCACCACAAATACCACATTTTCCTCCTACAACGACGACTCGTATGTGACAGACACCGATGTTCTTGCTAGACTTACCATTCTGGTTCCATTGATGCTGTAGTCCGCCACAAAACATTTCCATATGATTTGAATATGTGCAGCATTGTTTAAAAGCAGGATCATACAACCATGCAGTGCTACGAGCAGGTGGATCTTGCAGATAACCATGACCACAGGCCAGTGGGATTAGAAGCACTAGCAAGCATAGAAGACTGAAGAGAGTGTTATTCGATTAAGACGCACCGAAAGCCTTGTGACTGAGAGCCATCGAAGGTGTGGAATATGCCGCTTTTCGTAGATGTCTTAAGTCGAAGTTATCAAACGCCATTGTACGAGTTACGACAGCAATAAATGAATGTTGAATGCCCTTTTGTATTATATAATTATGAATAAGTTTGTTGAAAACGAAAACAATAGAATAATAATAATAAATCACACATTTATTTTTATGCTGTAGTCGAATATTTCAACTCTTGTGAATATAGATACGGTTATGATTATTATCATTCTGCGCACAAGAACATTCCGCTATCTACACTGTAGGTGGACTACATGAGTACTTTGATTGAAATGAAAGAAATGACGGCATATTCCACTATTACAGATTATTTATGTGAATGATGGAAAATGGTAAACAATCATTTACTTGTACCCTAAAACATCTAAGAAGTATCCAGTTTTATTATTGTGGGTGCGCAGAATGATAATAATCATAACCGTATCTATATTCACAAGAGTTGAAATATTCGACTACAGCATAAAAATAAATGTGTGATTTATTATTATTATTCTATTGTTTTCGTTTTCAACAAACTGATGTGAGTTGTGATTATTTTTGACGAATAAGTTTTTTTAATAAAGATGTGATATAATGACAGAATTGTTGTGATAGTGAAGGAAACGCAAGCAATAACAACTGATCGATGAGAGATCTTCAAGCAATCAGCTGTTGTTTCGGATCGGTTCAGCAAATGAAGGTCTTAACTAATTCCCAAACATGACACATCGCTTTTGGTTGCGATTCTTTTTGTTGAAGTATTGGCTAAGAAAATGAATATACGGTTCTTGTTATACATAACTAGAAAGATACACAGTATTAATTCAATTCGTTTTTTTTCTTTCTCACACTGTGTTCTAGTATTCCTTTTTATCTATTTATTTATGATTGGTCGCAGCTGGAAACTAATACTGATTTTCTGATTGTACGGCTTAGTAATCACTGCAAATATAACATTCGTATGTTCTTTGCAAGTTTTATAAATGAACAGGAAACATTCGATAAAATATTACTCGATAAGACTTTCATAAACAAACTGCGACCGAATTATAACTGCAGATATACTGAACAATTTTCAATTTTTTTCTTTATCATTACATGTTTCAGCTGATCAAAATGCATATGAACGCATACGACTGAATTTATCAGAATCGGTTCGTCATTGCTGACGATAACATTTTATAGAAAATAAATACATGTTCAGTTAGATAAATGTGACATTTTGAAATAAGGCGTTGAAAATTCATTTGAACTCTATTAATTGTATTCACGCTTTTTGTGCGCGTGAAGTACTATAAACGTAATTAAAAATAATTAGTCCTAACTATATAGCTTTCGGATGCATTTGCCGCTGTTTTTTGTGACTAATGTTTTAATCAAAAGTTATGAGAGTTTTTGTAGAAGTCTGAAAATATGCATTAGACGGTAGTGGCACAGTATCTTGAAAGCGATGTTCACCTTGAAACCGTTTCGTAGCTGCAAGTTTTCTCGGTAACGAAACGCCGTGAAGAGGTCGGTAAGGTCTTAAAATGACGAAAACAAATGTGACTATAATAAATGAAAATTCAATCTTATAAATTGTAATTTTTTTATAAGAGGAAATGAAAACGTTTTTGAATGAATTACTTGAGTCTAACAGTTGAGTCAACATCATCCAATTTTCGAGTCAGAGTCAAGTCAGAGTCTTTAAACAAATGTGACTCGAGTCATGACTCAGACTCGTCCAGTCCCACCGGCAAAACCATAAAAGAAGGTCAGGGCTTCTATTGTGGGAACGGGTTTATCACTAATATAAAGTGTGAGAAATAAATTTTTGTCAATGAGCGGACGTATTTTCTAAACGTTTCAGACATACACAACGTTGTATCTGCCTGCACTGAGATACAAAACTCATTAATTTAACGTTTAGAAATAGCGAATCGATTTTATCAAGAATTTTACTATTTTCGACGACTAATAGAGTTGTTAGTCAATTGTAAACATGTTTGAGTGTCGACATTGAAAATGTTGATCTTCCAAGTATAAATATATGAATAAAATTATGTTTAACAAGCACAAAACGATCATTTTCGTCTGATTGATCAAATTCCGGTATAATTTTAAATAACTGATTAGTTTTAATGCACAAAGATTGTACCAATCCATTATTGATAATATTCCCGACGTTTTATCAAATTCGTAGGATATATGGGAAATGGTGGTGTAAGCAACGGTTGATGAGTACCTCTTTCTCCCTGTTCCTCATTCAAACCACAAACTAGCGTCACTTTTCCTTCGTCCCAATAAAACAACTTCCTGTGCATTTTTTGTTTTAGCATCCCATCTTTATTTTTCCTGTGTGTTTCACGGATGGTGAGGTAGAACTTTATTATGCAAAACCGTTCATCAACTGTTCAAAAAGTTCATTCACTGAGATACTGTCATCATGGTTGGAATCGAGCGCGTCTGGTCAAATCCATCACTAATATTATGCAGACATGGATGGTTTCATCGTCTCTCTTTCAAAGCTACCTTGTTTGGTACAAATTAAGAAAATCTTTTAAAATCACAAAAATTCCAATAAAAGAGACTGTATGTGACAAGATGAAAAAATTTTATGAATCTTTTTGAGAAGGAAAATGCTAGTTGCTAAATTTGTAGGAAAAAAGCATAAGATCTGAAATGCCTACCTACATGCTTGCACTGAGAATCAGAAAAAAATGACCAATGTAGAAATCCGCAGCGAGAATCAGGACATGCTAAAGGATGCGAGGATTTACTTATATGTATTCTAACACCTTCATACGCTCATATTTTAATAGTTTTAGGCTTTTATAAGATGCACGTAATGTAAAGGAGTAGTGCATTTTATTTTTCGATGTATTATACATATTCTGATTTGTCAGGCTGAGTTGACCACGAATATCACCTTCCTGGCCTTCAAAACCTTTTCTTCCAGACCAAAATCTCAAAATACTGAAAAACTCTTAAAAATGTCAAAATGTTTTGGTTTTAAAAATTCGTTCGCAGTTTTTTCCCAGATGGGTTTAGTTTGAACTTACCATTTTTGAATTGCTCGTAGGCCATCTGCTAGAAATTGAACTCTGAGTTTCTGGTTCATGCATCGTTCGATAACCCAGACAACGAGCTGCAAAGTTATGAAGAGCTTTTTTCAAATTTTGTTTCGTTGCTGAGAAAATTCACTTTTTCTAAATCAGAGGTGAAAAAGTCGGAATTCTGTCCGTCATTCTCAATTTTCTCGATCAAAACTCAACCTTTCAGCAATAAAAATATCATATTCGAAATCAGAATCAAAAACTGAGTCCACTGGTGTGTATTCCTATCTTATCCGACTGCGTTAATTTTTTTCAAATTTTCACGTTGAAAAGTTACCACCCTATACTGAAAATTACCGAGATTTTCACCCCAAAGTGAAAATCAGCCAAAATTTTCGAAATACACACCAGTGGACTCAGTTTTTGATCCTGATTCCGAATATGATACTTTTATTGCCGAAAGGTTGAGTTTTGATCGAGAAAA